CTGGCTGGGGAATTCTGGGAGTTGAAGTCCACACATCTTAAAGTTGCTAAGGTTGAGGAACCCTGCTGTAATCTGCAAAATCTGGAGCTTTTTCAGGTCAAGAAACATTAAACCCCATGCTGTAAAACTGGGGAAGTATCTGTTAGCTAGTTTTATTATGTGTTAATGTCCACGACATTATTTTAGAAAATAATATTTGCATGAGTATTCAAAATTACATGCTTCAAAGCACTAATCTGTGTTTTAGGAACTGAGGAAGATTTTGGTGGTCTTGTTTCTGCAAACCTTATACTTCTGAGAAACAGATTGTTGGATATCCTGCTTAAGCTTATGTACACATCTAAAGAAAAAACAAGTGTCAATTTACAGTGAGTACACACAATCTGGATTTTTTTTTTGGAAAATGTAACAAAATCCAGGATGTTTCTGCTTTTGTATCCACAGACATCAACAAATCCACATGAGCAACTTTGCATGGCACTGCTGTGCTTTATGGAAAAGCAAAGGAGCAGTTACCAGTGCAGTCCTTTGCATGCCTAACCCCCTTCCCTCCACCCATTAAAAATGCTGAAATTGAGCAGAACACTAGATCTTGTTAGATCCTTTTTTTTTTCTCCTGAAAGATTACTAATTCCGGGGGTTTCCTTTAGGGCTTGCGAAGAACTGGTCCGGACCCTGGGCTTTGATTGGGTTGTGCTGTTTATGGAGGATCATCTGCATCCCGCTACAGTGACTGCAGCCATGAGGATTCTGGTGGTTTTGCTGAGCAACCCAGCCATCCTCATCAAGTTCAAAGAAGGTCTCAGTGGTGGGGGCTGGCTTGAACAGACCGATTCTGTATTGACTAATAAGATTGGAACCGTGCTTGGTATGAATCTCCAAATGTTACCATGTTATCAAGATATCTGTATCTTCCCCCCCCCCCAGACTGAGTGTTTTGACCATTATAAAGTTGAACTGGTACTGGGAGAGTCATTTCTATTTTGTAACATATTCACAGACTGGAGGTAGCTCTTGAACCAGTTAACTAAAGGAGAGTACACGGAAAGCATTGTGGCTAAATGAGCCAGCCTAGGATATATATACCTTATGCATAGTTTCCATTAGTTGAGAAAATATGTGTGGATCATTTCGTATGCACAGTTATTGATCAGAGTGTTCTAGAAAAAGCTTATTAAGCTAAAACCTCTTTAATTTGCCTGTTTATATTCTATACAAAGTTGATTTTCATCTACAGAATGTAAAACATAACTTTATTCAGAGACTAGTTTATAACATTGTCAAATACAGAGTATGTCTCCCTTGCCAGTTTAATGGTGGAATGCCAGGGGAAAAACCAAGCTAGAATGCTCATCTATGCACATTTAAATAGGAGGTGACGTATGTTTGTTTGTATGCAAGTGTTCCTCTTACAGGCCCTCCCAAATGATCTAATTATGCTGATGTTATTAGAATATCTGCTTGGGACCAAAGGCCACAGCTGCTCTTGTAATATAAGAATTGGACCAAAATGGGAAGTCTTAACATGACAAGATCTTCACAGTTAGAACATTGTCTCCTTGTTCATTGCTCTGTTTAATAATATGGGTGGGCCTGATGAGCAATACAGTAAGCATTAACTGTTAAGAGCTTGTTCTGTTACAACTGTAAAAATACTGAACTTTTAGCATATTCTAAACAGGTTAATCACAAACAAAAAATAATACAAAGGATCAGCATGATACTGTTGAATAAAGCCCAGGTATTTTATATTAATTGGGAATTTT